AGGTCTGATTTCCATAGTTGCCACATTATATTTAAAATATCCAGTTTTCAGCAAAAAAAACAAGAAACAAGAAAGTAAGGCCCACTCTCGGGAAAAAGAATTCACAGAAGCCGACTCCAGAGCCCCCAGTGTCTGGTCCCCGGGAAACGCCCCCGCCAGCGGCTGAGTGTGCCACTGTGGGGCAGTTACTGAGACTAAACTCTATCAGAGCCCCCACGGCGCTGCAGAGGAGCCTGCTGACTGCATTCTACAGTTGTCTCCAAGAGCTAAGGTGGGAAAAGCCAAGGAAGTTTTGAAAAACCAAATGAAGAGGGACTTTCTCTTCAATATACAGAAAAGCATTACAAAGCAAGAGTGATTAAAACACCGTCTTATTAGCACAGTTATAAAGTAGTTCAGTACAACGAATACCCAGAAAGAAATGCAGCACGTACGAGCTATAAGACTGCAAAGAAGAGAAAACCCAATATAACCAAGCCGCTGGCAGCTCCAGGGCCAAAGCCAACCGAGGGTCCATGATTATCTACTGTTGAAAAAACCCGGCAAGATGTCGCCTCTCACTGACCTTAGCTGTGTCCCAGGAACAAGTAAACTGGGCTGGAAGGACAGACGTGTGATCGGCCACCAGGGCATCTGCCAGCTCCGGCGCCTCAGCTCCTCTTCTCGGAAGGATGTGGGAATACTGCTGAGCAGGTGGGAAGCGAAACCAGCACAAATGACAATTCAGCCCACGATACAGACAGCATTTCAAATCAGGGACAAGAGGACAGGTTAATGAGATGATGTAAGGACAACCAGCAATTCGTCAGGAAAATAAAAACCAGGCCTGTTCATCAAGCCACTACCTCTTGTCAAGGAAAACTGGGTAAAAGTTGATGAATAACTTGTTTACATTTTTAAAAGGTTTTTTCATATAACGAGAAAGGATACTTAATATGTAACTAGGCCCCGAAGGAATTTCTTGTGCTCTACTTCTTTCAAACAAGAAATAACATTTCTTGGAAATTTTACATTAATTTACAATTCAGGTTACATGGAAATTTACAGAGCACAAGGCAATTACTGAATCATTTTTTTCAGACAACAAACAAAGATTCCTTTTCCTAACACTTCTGAATTACATAATTTGAAAAACCCTGCAATGTTTGGGTGCCTTACAGCTCCAGGTATGAGGACAGTTCCTGACCCCAGGCCTTCCTGCTACAGCTTCAGGGCCGGTTCGCTCCCCCCTCGTGCATCACGGCCCGTGACTCCCGTGGT